GTTCAGTGAACAGTATAAATTGCTCACTATTGCACAAAGCTTCTCACTTCTAATGACTGTATTGTATTGACTACATTAGGCCAGATACTGTCAACCCTAAGCCACGCTTTCAGTGTAGAATAAGGGGACAGAACTTGCCAGTGAAAAGGTTGCTTGAATGAAAACATGTTTCGGAAAAGAATATCCCTTTCCAGGATATGTAGCTTATTCAGTGAAAAATTCTGGTCCTCCTGATTATCTGCTAGCTCTAGACAGGGCAACAGGAGTTGCCCACACAACTTCAAAGGAAACCATAGCTAAACAAAAGCATTCCTTAATCCATTAACACCAAATGGTTTATTAAGGTGTGTGTTTTTTCTTTCTTGCTGCTGTTTCCAAAGTACATGCTCATAAAGCACTTAGAAGATCCTTGTTCAGTAAGCAATTGCCAGGGCATGAGCACACACATCAAATGCATAAGACATTTCTTACAGTACGATAATTTTAGTATAATACAATAAGTAACAATTTAAAACCTAACAAAACTCTCGTTTCTAGGGAGATCTTCTGAAGAGGGTCAGGCCTTATTCAGCAATACTATGATAGGGTGTACAGAAAAGCAATGAAAACTATTTAATTTTAAGATTTCATACTGTAATGGCCCTTAAGTTACAGGATATATGAACAGGGAAGGGAGAAGAATGAAGAGGAGGAGAACACCTGCTGAATTAAGTCGTTAATTTGAGTTCGAAAGGAGTAAATGAGATCAAAAATAATGTTTAGCATAAAGGATAACCTTCATGCCATACATGTTTTAATAGTTCTCAGTTGTTCCACAAATCTAATTAATGGAAGTAAATGGTTGATTTTTTATTTCAAATTACTGTAAAGAAATGTCCTACTTGCAGACAAATTGAAGGGTCCCTTAAAAAACAAATTCTGTGTAACATTATGTTTCTTTGAAAGTATTGGGCATAAATAAGGATAAAGGTCAATATGCTGAGAAGACAGTAGCTGACAGACAAATGAGGTTGCCTTTGAGAGAATTCAGAGGCTGCTGTGTAAAAGATCTGTGCAAATTAAGTATCCACAGCATCTCTTGGGTGCAAAAACTCAAAACAACTAACCAAACAGGTTATCTAACCTTTTGATACCTAAAGATACTATAAAGATTTTGGTGAGAGGCCAAAACATTAGGGCTCATTACAGTTTCAGTGCTTTACTCATTGGTGCAATGGAGTTTATTTAGGCAACAAGAAGAGCAACTGAGTATCATATGATTCAAAGTTTCAGTCAAACTTAATGTTTTATTTAGCCTTTAGCTACGATAACCACAGACAAACCCTATGAAACATTATTTGTGCCCATGGAGTAACATTAATTTTCTTTTAATCTTTCTCTGCCCCAGGAAACATTTCAATTGAATTTTGCTCTTCATGCAAGGAATCAAGAATACCAGGAGCCAAGCTCATTTCCTTTCATTTTCCCTATATTTCCATATTTTTAATAGATTCATGACCCATGGTGCTAATCCTGGAGTTATTGTAAGAACATGTTAAATTAAAAATATGTATTTATTGTGCCCATCTGCTAAATTCCCAACATCTTTCTAGAGTTTATTGAATTTCCTAACACCAGATCTTGGTTTCACAGATCAGTCTAGTGGCATTTTCCTGACCAGATGATTTTGTGTTCTGTGCCCTTCCCATTGCTACTCTCCTTCTTTCACTGTTTTACTCATTCTCTTAGGCTTCCCTTGATTCTTTGGGCCACTGTCCCCATTTTTCCTGTCCAAGGACTGTCTCCTGTTCTCCTTTTATCGAATAATTTTAACCATTTCTCCAGCTTTGCCCTCACAGTGATCAATGTTTTTGGGGGTTGTTTTTTGGTTGGGTTTTGGTTTTGTTTTTTTTTAATTCAGTTTTCTTTCTGTTTTCCCCATTAAATGAGTTGCTATTCCAGGAGGTTTTGGGGAGGTTTAATTTAAATTTTATTTTATTACTTTTGCCTACACTCCAGGTTTAGGAAATCTGTTTCATTCCTATTAGGAGGAACTTGCAGAAACATGGGTGTTCTTGGGGACAAAGAATGGGAGAGGATATTTTACTCAGTAGCAAATATTGAATAACTCTTCATTTAATACCCTATGTCACTATTGCATCTTCAGCGTTCCAGTAGCATCTCTCTCTTAGACGGATTGAAACAGCTGTTTGACACAGAATAATACCACAGCAGAGCTTGACAACTATTTCTTTGAAGTAGGCTTTGGATTGGTAATGATTATAAAATCAGGATCTCTGCTGAAAGATAACAGCTCTAGCAATCTAAACCCTGAGATACTGGTTCAGAATTAACTCAGAGGGAAGTGTACCATCTGTTGCTAAAACCTAACGCTAACAGCTCAGGCAATTTCTAGCTTAAAGGGAAAACATGGACCTGAACCTAGCCAATTAAGGGAAGTAGGGAGAGGGATGGAAGAAAAACTTAAAAATAGCTTTTGGTCCTTCGCTTCTGTCTGGTGCTGGCTGACAGTAGAGACAGAGGAGAGAACTGACACTTCAGAGAAAACAAACTGCATAGAAAGTTCCATCAAGTGCCCAAAGTAAACAAATGGGAATGGACAAATATTGTTTCTTTGCTATTTGATTTGGAATAACTTCTCTTATCTTGTAAAGCTTCTCCACACTGTTTAAACTCTTTCTGCTCCTTCAATGCTTGATAATCAGGACTAATTTCTGTGCCAAAAATGTACCCCTGGGTAACTCGTTTATTTTAAGACTGCTCATTTGCCAAACCTAACAAAAGAGTCAACATTTCTTGCTTCTTTACATGAATCATTTTTTTACCTCTGTTTTTTTAATTGAACAGTTTAGGTGCTCTAGAAAGGAAACTAAAATGTTCTTTTGAGCCTTGTTTTCAGTTCTGCTAAGAGGAAAAAAACAAAAAACAGAAACCCACCATAAAAGGCCAAGTTAAGAGCTGGAGGCCTCAGCTGCTTGAAATGAAATACAGTGCTCCAATTTGCTTGCCCATGCAATATCTTCAGATAATGCAATGATAAATCTCTTGTAACTGTGGAACCTGGGTAAATGCAGATCTGACCTTTTGTTTACAGAGTATCAAGGGAAATCTTTATGAGACCACAGAACTGTTTGAAAAGGTTTAGAAACATTATGAGATGGTAAAATGTGTCCCCTGAGGATAATTTTGACAGCAAAGATCTGACACTGTTTCTCAGTGAGCAGTGCCCTTTCTGCAGAGACTTGAACAAGCCATTTGGCAGTGATGTTTGAGAAGCGTTTTCAATGCAATTCACTAATGCAGTTCAGGGGAAAACATGATCTGTGCTGTTATAATTAAACAGGATTTTAATGTTACTGAAATATTGACATGAAAATATTTACTAGATGTACAGATGTTGGTGCTTGTACAATGCAAGATAAGCTAGGAAAGACAGCATTTTCATTTTGGAAGAAAATGAGTCAAATTAGTCTATCTTTTATACCTCTTCTAACTTTCAGTGGTTATGATTGTTTATCTGATTATATTTAAAAACAGGGACATAAATCAGCTTGACTAAAAGTACAGATTGTGTTTTGTTGCATAAAATGAATTTATTGATTAAACAAATGGAGAAAAATGTTCTGAGCAAGAAAGAGCCCTCTTTTGCTGAATTCCAGGCAGAAAAGATTTAAGTCTGTTCTGTTGCTTGGAAGGAAGTGCCATAAAGAACAGAATACCAGCAATATGTTGGGAGTCAGGTTTTGGATTAAAACCTTACTTTTGGTTTGTTTTTTTTTTTTTTGTTTTGTTTGCTTATTTTTCAATTTGAAATTCCTGGATGTGGTTGTTTTGTTGTGTTTTGTTTTGGGTGTTGTTTTTTGTTTGTTTGTTTATTTCTGATCTGTATAAATGTATTAATTATGTATACATCTGCTAATTATCATTAACCATGAGCCAGCAATGGGCCCTTGCCACAGCGAAGGCTAATAGTAACCTGGGTCACCTTACACAAATTATTGACTAGGTCAATCTGCTGAGCACTGGTGAGGCCACACCATGAGTGCTGAGACCAGTTCTGGGCTGCCCAGTACAAGAGAGACTGGAGAGTATCCGGTGAAGGCTCACCAAGGTGATAAAGGGACTACAGCATCTCTGCTATGAGGAAAGGCTGAGAAAATGGGAATGCGTAGCATAGAGAAGGCTCAGGGGAAACCTGTTTCCATTCCTCACACATGTGAATAATATTCCAAATATGTTACATATATGGTGTGTACATATGTGCTCACAGAAATACGATTTCAGAAGTATATGTATGTGTGCATAAGTATGTATACGTGAAAATGTAAGCACATCTCTTTTGACTCTTATAGTCAGTGGGAGAGACCTGAGATAACCCAAATAATAAATATACCCGCAAAACCCCTGCATGTGTGAATTGAAGGAGAGAGGCAATGAAATGAGGTTGTGCAGTTTCCAAAGCCAAGACTGCTGCCAACAGTTTTAAGGAGACGCTGTTTTAGACAGCCTTTAGTGTCTAAGTTTACTAGATTTGATAAATGTAAAAATACAAATTTGTAACTATACTATTACATGAAGGACATGGGTTTTGTCATGTGAGTTACACTGATCCTAATTATTAGCATTTAACCATCCTTTTGCTATGTTTAATTTATTAATGTACAAATTAACCTGGTACTTCATTATTAACAGAAAATAGTTCTAATAAATACTCAAACATTACAACTTAGTATTGGAACCATGCTATAACTGTGACATATCCAAGGTCACATTAAGACCTGGCTGCAAGGAGCATCTAGGTACCAACTGGCTTAAAAATTAGTCATCAGGGTGATAAACTCATGTTTAGGTAGTCTCTGATGGATTCAGGGCTACAGTTTTAGCAGGGGAAAAAAACTCAGAAAGGGAAAAAAATGCACTTACCCCAATTCCCATTTATGTAAGGTCTTCTGATGTTCTTCTTGGTGGATTTAACTATATAAACAGTATTGTAACTGTAGAAATACTCCAGCATTCATCATTCAGCAGTGCTGCAGATGGATTTGCTTTTTTGTTTCAACTTTTTTTCTCATGGAACCACTGTTCCATTGTATGCACGTATGGCATGGCCACTTTGGCATCCTGGTTCTTCCAACATGTTGCTACAGCAACAAGCTTCTGCAGAGAGATTATCTGACAAACAGTACTATGCCTGTTTACTGTGGAGCTGTGGAAACAGAAGTTAATAAACTTTTAACATTACAAATTAGGAAACATCTGGGGTTGCTGTCTCTGTCACCCTTGTAGGATCAGCATACCCCACAGTATTTTATAAGATGGGAATAAAAAAGATATTCAACATGCATTTTTTTAAAAAAAGGTAATCGAAAAAAATAAAATTCTGTTCTCTGATTTAACCCAAGTGCCAACCTCATTTGCTTTAACTTACAATTTCCGAAACTGTATCATCTGAAAATGAAATGGAAGCTTCTTTAGACTGGGTAGGTGCAGCTATGAGAGCGAGAGTGGCACAGCTGAAGGCACCTTCCAGGGTGACCATTGCTACTTTAGCACCTTCCTTGGTGCTGACTGGTGGCAACATCAGCCTCACAGATAATGTTTGCTGTGTTGGCTGTGATTCATCAGGTTTTCAACAGTTTGGCTGCATTAGGGTAGAGAGAAGAATGACAGACAGTAGAATAAATATCTCACTATATTAGTCTGACCCTTCTGCCAGTATTGATTCATTCCTGAGAAAAACAGCTGGCATAATGCAGTTCCCTTGTTGTGTAATGTAAGCTACATGCAGAAAGGTTTGCTGCCTGCCCTCCCTCTTTCCAAGAAAGTGAGGTGAAGTTTGGGATTATTCACACTGTTAAAAACATGGAAAGTTTCTATTATGTGTGACTGCAAATTTTTCTTTAAGAGCTGCATTTATAATAACTGAACCTAAAATACTAAAAGGATACAGAAAATCTCAGTTATATAATAGTGCTTTTCTTTGGGGATGGTATTTTCCATACTTACCTAGAAAATTTATTTTTTCTATACAGAGCTCATATAGTAGTAAAAAAAATAATAAAAAAATATAAATAAACATTTTTAACATTTATTTTAAAAATTACTCTTGTGCAATATGCTTCTCTGGATTCAAAACTTGCCTTAACCCAGTCACAGGTTCTATTCATTGTCCAGTTGGTGATTTTGAGTGCATATTGTAATTATTTGTTTGGTTCGAGTCCAGGTTCCCTTTGGCTCTGTAGGTGTTTTGGGTACCCAGTATGTGCTTTATTTAGTTCACCCATTATCCACACTAGCTTTTGCATTTTTAATGTTGACAGCAAAGATGTCAGCTAGAAGCCAGGTTTGTTTTGTGTGTATGTATGTATTGCAGAATGGCTGGATCTCTTCATATAACTGTCATACTTTGATACTGATTGCGGAAGGAATTGTAGACTAAGCAATAGACTTTTTTTTTTTTTTGTGTGGTAGAGCAAGATAAAAAGAACTTCATTTTTGAGATAAAACAGGATGAGAAACAAGGAACATCTCTGTATCTGTCAATCCATCTATATGATGCTTCTATCCCAGAATTATCAGAACTCGTGTTGCTCACAGACAAGACCTGTAAGTCATTGTCTATTAATGAAAACTTTCAGCATAAGCGAACAGCAGTTTGCAGCTTTCATCATGAGGATATGTCATGCATACTGGATTGTAAAAGTAATCCTCTTGTATTTTCATTTCCAAACTGAGACATGATATTTTTCCTTTTTTTTTTTTATTTATTTTTTTTCTGGGAATAAAGCATTTTAAGGAGCAGGAGAAAAAAAATTACCCATTTTTAAATTCAGTGAACCCACTTTAAAATTCAGTGTTCAAAATCATATACTTATGAACTGATGTAAATTCATAACACTTAAAAATATTTGGCACAAGTTAGCATTCTTCACTTTTTCCCAGTGAATAACAAGTACAAGCAGTTCTTTCTGCCTGCCTGTTTCAACAGGGAGTTAGCAGTATCAGTTCAGACAGGCTGAGAAACATATGATTTTATTTTTTTTTAATCCACACTTAGAGTTCATTAACGAAACCATTTTATGAACAGGTTCCAGTTGTGATCAGTTACTGAGAAAATAGTACCTTGAAACAGGTGTTTTAAAACTAAGAAAATCAAATATTCAAGCAAATATCTATAATACTGTGCAGGCTGAGCAACTTAGTTAAGTATTTTTGATACTTCCATTTAAACTACTTCTCTCAAAATCTACACAGGTATAAACTTAAAGATAGGACAGTTTTATGTGGTATGGAAAACTGGGGTTTGCCATGTCTGTGTTAAGGTCTCAAATTTGCCATAGGTTTCCTGTGTGACATTGGTCATGTGATTCAGTATTTCTGGGCTTTATTCTAGCTATGTCTGTTTATGAAAATTATGTATTAGTGATTTTTTCTTCCATTCTTCGAATGTCTTGTTTATTCTCAGTAATATACTTTGATGAGATGTGGTATTTTCATGTGGGCTGAGCATGATAGAGTAATGATAAACTGCGCTTGCAGTCTCTGAAATTGCACAGAAGTGAATTAATCTATATTATTTAATTGTTGGACATAAAGTTTTTTTGTTGTATTAACAAAGTGCTCTGCTTTTCAAATGATTTGGGCACTATCGTAATTAGTGTCAAGACACTGTTTCTTAATGTGCAGTGTAGCATGAACTTTTCTTAGGTTTCTCTTAGTAGACTCTCACTGCCCCCAAAAGGCATACCAATATTTTTTAAAAATTGATGCTTCCTGAGCTTAATTCTTTAAAGTTGTCCTAGTTAATCTTGAAATACATCATGAAATATTCTAAGCTCCCTTTTTACTAGGTGTTGTAATAGAAATAAAAAAAAAAAACAAAATAAAAATCTGTTAAATAAGATTAATTTTTTTTTTCTTTATAGTTCATTTGCTTTCAAATATGACACTGGAACAGCTGGGTAATATTAAAGTCTGTGTTTCATAAACACAGACCAATTCAATTCTGTCCCAATTTATGTGACAAACCTGACATCTCTGATTGATAGATTTGGAGCATGGAGAATGCAGGAACTGACATGATATCATTCCTCACTGTAATGGCAGTGCTATCGTTAAGCACACACTTCTTATCAGAAAAAGAAAAAAAAGTCAAGACAAGTTTACCCAAGTGTCTTGAGGTGAGATGGGGATGTTTCTGGTGAAATAACTCCAGTATTTACCTGAATACTGAGTTTCTGATATGGCCTTCGTCGAAAACGTTTCAAATAACACACGGAATCCATGCAAAGGAGAATTAATGTGTGCTGATGTTGATGCAGTCAAAAAGAGATAGATTCAAATGTATTCAGATCTTTGCTGAAATAGGGCTTCTGACATTTTCTAGAATCCTTTTTTACAGCTGAAATGTTATTAAAATATGGACTGTCGTTGTTTTGCTGGAAGACTTGCAGAAGAGAGCTACTTACAAGTTAAACTCTTGTTCAGTGTTTCAATAATGCAGGTCACATCAGTTAAAAATGCAATGTAGACACAGCAGGGTATTGCAGATGCTTCTCGCTGGTCTAACCGTCGCTTTCATGCAGTGTGTATCTTGGTAAATAGGTGAGTGTAGCAGCACAGGTAGCTCAAACTTTATTGCAAGAAAGGCCATAAGTAGGTCAGGACAAAGGATAAGAAGAAAAAGTAATCCAAAATTGTGTGCATAGGATTTTCTAACATTTTAATTTGGTCCAACTTTCAGACATAGCAAAGGACTATTTTAGGTACATGGGGAATTGCATATTGTCAGAGGCGTGACTTTTAGTGAGCATGGGAGCAAAGCACATGTGAGACTAGCACATCAGTGTGGACTTTTTTAATAGTATATAAAAGTCTTTCTATAGTGTGGATGTTACTTTTTTCAGCATAAAAAAGGCTTGCAAGAGGTACCAAAATTCAGTCTTCACATTTTGATTAAAATTTCCTTTGATATTATCCATAATATCCTCAAGACTGGTTATTACTTCACAGATTGAGTTTTACTTTAATGGAAGACAAACTGTGAAGAAGATATGGGGCTCCATTATGGGAAATTAGTAAAGATTACACTGATACACAAGATCAAAAAATTGTACAATGACAAGGTAGATTTGCTGAAAGGAGTCAGGTAAGCAAATTCCTCTGTTGCCCAGCGTGTAGGATCCTAAGAAGTCTTTTCAAATTTGAATCTCATCAAAGAATGTCCATTAGTTGGATGTACAGTACTGATTACATAACTGTTATGGTTTAAAACCAGTCAGGCAGCTCGTTCACTCACTCCCTCCCTTCTTTCCTTCCCCCTGCTCCCAGAGGAACGGAGAGGAGAATCAAAAAGAATGCAACTCCCACAGGTTGAAGTAAGAACAGTTTAGTAACTAAGGTATAACCCAAATCACCACCGCTACCAATAATAATAATAATAATAATGATAAAGGAAATAACAAGGGAAGAGAATGCAACACCTCACCACCCGCCAGCCGGTACCTTGCCCCACCAACCCGATCAAGCACCGAGCAATACCTCGTCCAACTCTGCAGTCCCCTAGCCCTTCCAGGTAACTCTAAGTTACATCCTGGGCATGACGTGCTGTGGTATGAAATACCTCTGTGGCTAGTTTGGTTCAGGTGTCCTGTCTCTGCTTCCTCCCGGCTTCCCCTCCTCCCTGGCAGAGCATGAGGCTCACAAAGTCCTTGGCCAGACTAAAATATCAGTGTTATCAGCACTGTTCCCAGGCCGAAAGTCAAAACACAGCACTGCACCAGCTACTAAGAAGGAGAAAAATGACTGCTACTGCTAAACCCAGGACAATAACTCAACTGTAATTTCTTATTGTGGTAGCTGACTGTGTGGCTCATGTCTTTCATCCACAGAGTGTAGCATCATAGATATGACGTCCAAAAGACTGATTAGCCCAGATCTTTCCATGAGAAGCCTTGGTTCTTCATGGCCTGCTGGAAGCAGCTGTTTCCCATGGGGTGGTCATAGATATATTACAAAGCATCTATTACTGGTTATTTTTAAGGTGACTTCTGGCTGTATCAATGCAAAAAGAAGTTTTTCTGTTCGCTTATTGGAGAAAATAATAACAGTTTCTTGGAAAATAAAAACAGGCAGTAGTATGGTATTAGCTAACTGGCAAAATACTCATATGGAACCTCTTGCTAGTCAGCATATCGAATGCTAAGTACAAACATAAATTAAGAAGATTAAAATGTAATTTAATTTATTTTCAAAGTGGAGAATAGCATTTTGATTCATTAGCGTATCAATTTTAATAATGTTAAATGGTGGTTTCAGTGTCACTTGCATTATAAGTCATAAGGACAAAGATATGTTCATAATTTACCAGTATCTTTTACCAATAAGTATTGTCAATAATGTCTGAAATGTCTTGAAAGCTGTTGTTAGTCCATTATTATACCTTCAAATGTAATTTAGTAAAGTCACATCATTTATATTGTGGTGTAACTTACCTGTTTCACCACCATGAAGCTGAGTGCCATTGATTTCCTGGTTTTATCTTTTTACAGGCCTACTGTGTAGTCTACAGAAAATGACAATATATTCTTCTGCTTAAATTTACAATCTGTAAAAGGGAAAATGGAAATTTATGGTCAGACTTAAATGTAAGTAGCTTATACAGAAAACATATGGATAAATCAGGAAGTAAATTCTACTTAATTTCCTTGTTCATCTCAGTACTGAGTCTCTTATGAGCCTCATTAACTGTACAACTACAGAATTAGATGATGCTTTTGCAAAGAGTTTGCATTAAAATTTTCCTGAAGATTCTGTAAAAATTAACAGGGATTTGAGCTTCCAAATCTGTAGAAAGCTTTTAAAAATCTCAGCTGCAATATTTTTTTCTTCTACCATTATCTTTGTAAAACCTCTTTCACCCCCCTCCTTCACCTCCAGTCTCTGTGCCAGTTTAGGAGATTAAATGGATCTGCTATGAGCGAGTAAACTAGAGAGACAGGAATAGTTACAAACTCCAATCTGGAGTGGGGAGGAAGGCTAATGACTTGGAACTGGTAGGAATATTCTGATAAAGCTTTCTAAAATTACTGTCTAATTATTTATATGTAAAGGAAAGGCTGAAGCAGTAGAGAGAGACATGATTCTTTCCTGCTTTTTACAGTAGTCACCCATGAAGTGGGAAATCAAGATTCATTTTTCTGTTTGAATGAATATTCATTTACATATTCAATGAACTCTCAGAAAAAACTAGGACTCACTGTGGAGTATCCTGTAGCTGTGTCTCAGGGGACTTCTGTGCAATGTGGGTGACAGAAAAGCTGGGCTCTGTCTCAAGGCAGCGCATCTGGAGCCATGCTGTTATTTTCCAAGGAAGTGTTTTTCCCTTCAGCTATTCCCTAGATATATGAAGCTTTTTTATTTTTTTATTTTTTCCCTTAAACTGGGAGATGCTTAACTGGCATAAACTTCCTGGGAAGCAAGACCTCAGCACATGTGACACTTGCTTGGGGAGACAAGCAGCACAACCACAAATATCCTCCCTCTTCCTCTCCTAAACTTTTAATGGTGAACACAATGTCATATGGTCAGGGGTATCCCTTAGGTCAGCTTGGGTCAGCTGCCTTCACTGTACCCCATCCCAGCTTCTTGTGCATCCTTGTTAGGAGGAGAGAGAAAGCTTTAACACTTTTCAGCAACAGCCAGAACACCAGTGTTTTAGCCACAAAAAGCAAGGCACAGCACTGTAAAGGGCTACCTCCATCCTAGCCAGACCCAGCACTTCTTTCTATGCTGGTGCTTTCCTTTTTGAATCACAAAACTGACAGCAATTCCATCTCTAAAAGCCTTTCCTCTGGCTGTAATTTCACCCTTCCTATATCTCTACAGATTTTCTTACTGGTCTGTTTTAGCCACCTGAGTCAAGGTAATACAGGTGGGCCATATCAGAGCCAGGGTCATTGTTACACAAGTAGTAAAGCCGCTGGGTTGGGTGGGTGCAGGAAAGGGGCTCCTAGCAGTGTTACAGAGAGAGAGAGGGTAACACAGATTTGTGAAGTTGGCCTTGCTGCAAATCAGTCTGCCACCCATTCTCTCCTAAGGTTTTAAAATAATTAATCAAGAAAGGATTAAATTATCCCTAGCCTTAACAGCTGGGTTCTTTATTTGTTGTAGGACAGTAACTTTCTCTTCCCTTTGGAAAAATGCAACTGTTTGTTTCTTATCATGCAGAGCTTGTAGTTCCTAAAAGTATATAATTTTCAGTTCTTTAAATAAAAGATCAGTTATTATAAAAAAAAATAAAAATCGCTATTTTCAGGTATCCCTATGCCATTATGCAAGCATGCAAATAAGCCTTCTCAGCTGGTATAAAGAATAATTCTGTGCTTCTTTTTCTGCTCTGTGGGGTCAGAATTGACTGTTAAACTCCATAGATGCTTCCAGTTCCAAAGTCTGTCTGCTGGGTCTTCTTAAATCCATTCACAAAAGAGAAGAAAAAGCAATGCGTCTACTCAAGGAATTCTCTAAGAAGTGAGCAGGAATATTATTCTCCACTCTCTTCTTCCCAGGTAGATGTAGCAAGAGGGGCTCATTGTGTTTGCTGTGTGCAATTAGACACATTGCTTTTGCAGTGGCATTGGACGTGTTCTTATGCTCAGGCAATGCACTTTTACTCTCACTTCAGGTTTCTGAATATTTTTCTTTTCATACTTTTAATTTCTAATAAGACTAAATATTAGTGAGTTTGGTTTTAGGCAGTGCAAAAGGGGAAAAACAGGGTAAAATTTAAGCTACAGTTCAGTTGTCAAAACAAAGTGAAGTATTAAAAGTGGTATCGTAAGCATTTTTTGATGATTGTTGCAGAATGATTAAGCATGTAATAATTTGGGTTTCAGTATCCTTCACAAACTCCACAGAGTGTGCGATTTTCACATTACCACAGTGGAGGCTGAGACCTGAGTGCAGTTATCCTGAGGCACAGGCATTGGTACAGTTCTGCCAGGTGAGCCAAAACAAAGCCTGCCCCTGCCAAAACCAGTGGGGATACTGCTGAGCTTGTTTCAACTTGGAAATCATTCTGCATAACTTAGAGCAACCACAGAGGGATAATTTAGGGGTGAAAATTGATGCAGACATGAAAAACGATAAATGAGAATTCAAGGCTTTGGTGATGTTTGACATTCAAGTTTCCGTTCCTGTGTACACAGAATCATCTGTATATGGTATATTAGGTCAGATTAGAGATGATCTTCATGGCAAGCTCAGTGCCTTGGTTTTTGTTCTTTGTTTTAGATGATTTGAAGATGTTAATTGTCCATGATTTGCAAGTGTTCAGTGGCTAATTCAAAATTTGAATTAATGAAAGGTGTTTTGTTAAAAGGTGTCTCATTGGTACATTACTTGCTGGTTTCATTTTTTCATTCCCCATCCTATCTTTTTTTAGATCTGATTGATTTTAGTGACTTACCCTCAATGAAATTATCTCTGAATTATAAGACTGTAAGTGTGCCATTAAAGTTTTAAGTTCAAGTATCAGCTCTTGTGATAAATCTCAGAAGATATTCAAAGCTCAAGTCATTTAACAAAGCACATATATTTTGACTAGTACCACAGAAACAGGAGGACAGAAGCAGAGAGTCAGGTGAGGAGAAACAAAGGAGACTGAAAAGCAATTAATCATTTCATGTCACTGACACTGATACTTAAGTTTTGTCATTAGGAGAATGAACTTTATTAGCTAAGTAAGTAGGACACTAGAAGCTTACTTAGGTTTTAACTGGATTTTAACCTCAGCAACTGACACTTACAAAGCTAAAAATAATTTATTTTAATAGAGGAAGTTATTTAGCCTAAAATACAGGTTCTGTAACACTTTGTATGAATTGCATTCAAGTTAAAGTAGAACATTAGGTAGAACTTTAAAAAACCTTCAGAAAATTGAATTTGTAGGACTTGCTATTTTTACTCTCCAGTGGTAGTGCTTGAGTGGTATTTGGGGATTCCAGGAAAAATGACAGATGCAGATAAATTTTACATTCTTCTGCTCAAAATAATAAAAGCAACATATAAGTAGACATTTTCTTTGAAACTCATACCTTGTTCTGGCAATTACTAGGTTATAAGAGAAAGTGATTGCCCGTTGTACTGCTTGTAGGGGCTGCAGACAGATGATCTGTAGTGCAGTGCAGGACATACATTTTTGCATTTTTGTATTGTCACATTGGAAATTAGCAGAAATTGTTTTTAAAGTTAGAAAACAATGCAAGATAAAAACTCTAAAATAACCTAAGATCACATAGTCTGTAACTTTTGTCTCTAGTAGTTGTCTGACTTTTCCTTAAAAATTCATACTTTTTCATTCTGAAGAGCTTTTCAAAGAGTATTTCACGGAACAGTCAAAAGCTTTTTTTCATGTAGGTTATCAAAAATTCCTATTACTGTCTTTTACCAAGACAGATGTTAATGGAAGCCCAACGTTTTTGCTGATAAGTTACTATTCAGGTCCATTATTTTTAATACTCTGTGACTCCTTTTCAACCAGGGAAATATGACTAATTCTCAGTGGTGATTGTACACCAGTAATTTACAGTGTAAGTGCATGAAAATTCAGCTGAGCCAAAGGAATGCTTATTGTCCTTGTATCGAAATTTCAAAGTGAAGACTAGCAGCCCTCCCCATTCAGCAAAGGAAGTAGCCATGTGTCAGTGTGTTTCTGTTGTGGTCCTGGGAGCTGATAAGAAGACATTTTTTGTATTACCACTGGTGAAAAATCAGAACTGTTGGCTGGTACTTATCCTTTAAAAAGTTGTTTCTCTGTGTGAAAGACTTCAACTTTTTGTAGAATACTGGATGTCTTTCTACTGAGAGATACCAAATTTAAGATACATTTTGCTTTTCCTTATCAACTCAAGCTAAAAACAATTTTAGAAATAAATCTGCTTTATGTTCTAAATAGCTGACCCTTCACACTATAAATGCACAGTGATCTAATTTAGAAATAAAAATTGAACCAGACAGCTTTAAACAGTAAAATATTTCAAACTGAAGAAAAGATAGAATGTTGTTTTGTTGGTTTTTTTTTCTTTATGGGAGAAAAATGCCAACCAGACAATAATAGTAAAAGTTCACAGTAACAATATTTGCATGCATCCTTCTTTACCTAACATTATGTCTGCCTTTTTCAAAGTACCGTAGTGGTTTCAGAAATCCCCCAGAATCCTGGGAGATGAAAACTTAGAATAGGTAATAAAATTTTGCAGCACAAGTTGAACTTTTCATGGCCATCTGTCTTTGCCCATCTTTAGTAGCCGGCTGTTTATCCAGTGTAGAATTTCAGTATATAGTTATAGTATATTGATATTCTAACTAATACCTCACCTCAAAGGTAGTTTGAAGGATAACAGTATTATATTCACCGTCAGTGGAAATGCCAGCAGTGTTTTGGAAGTAGCTGTATGAGACAGTTAAGTGGATATTTAGGAATGGGTTATTCAAAAAATCGTCATATGTAGGAGCTACAGACTTGCATAATTTCTAGTATTTTACATCAAGACTGTGGTTGTAGTGGTCACATTGGGGATTTCTTATTTTAGATGTTCTTTTTTCTGTGGATAATGACAAATATTAATCCATTTAAACAGTTCCTATGTATTTTAATTACTGTTTGGTAAATTTTTCCATTAATAAAGTGTGAATGAAAATCTTTCCGGGACCTCTAGTGAGAGATAGAAAATATCTTCATCTACAAGCCAGATATGTTCCAAGGCTTGGGCTGCACCAAGCAGCTCTCTAGCTGTGCTATGGAAATAGTTGCTTTTCCATAGCTGAGGAAGCTTCTTAGCTGCCAGTCCCTGGGGAATTGTTTAGGGAAGATGTGAAAGATTTCACCTGTTCTCTTCCACTAGGAAGATAGTTGCTCTTACAGGAAGCACAAACTGTGATGAGCTGTGATCATCTAAAGTAGATTACTATCCACAGCCTCAAAAGAGACTGCTGGATCAGACAAGGTTTGCTCTTCAAGGGAAGTGATTTTTGAGATGTGGATTACTGCCTCAGTTCAAACTGGAAAGCACTCTGATCTTGTAACATTAATTTTCTGACTAAATAATAATTTTATAACTATCTCGTATCATTATTTGTCACTGTGCTAGTTTTCTTTGCCAACACCTTAAGCCAGAGTATACCTAATGCTCTAGCTGAATTTGCAAATTTATTTAAAAAAATCCATTTCAAAGGTATTGATTTCTCTTACTGTAATTTGCAATTTGATATGCGTGTAAGAAAAAGAAAACCCCAGAAGTTTATCTTAATTGAGTGCTGTTTTCTGAATTGACCATTTTCCAATAGTATTCAAAGGAAACCATGGAGAAACCGTTCACATGGTATAAACTCTTAGGGCTGTATTGGTTTCATGTTGCTTCATTAGTAGTTCGTTGTCTTTTTTTCTTCTCTTGCCCATCTACAAGAAATCCAGTAAAATATAATTTTACAAAGGTGAGATTTTGGGGATATAAACCATCTCTTCCAACTTTGTCCTTTAAAGGGGCCATTATGTAGTTTCTTAGCAGAACTAACATAATGAAAAAAAAAAACCAACAACCACCAACCAAACAAAAAACCTCTTTAGTTAGTCTTTGTGCATTCTCAGATGAATGACTAATCCTTATTTTATATAGGGTTGAAGTAAAACTTCACCTAAAAAGCAAACAAAATGAAACTTTGAGGAAAAATAAATCTAGAGCTGAAATGTGTGGTCAAGGCAAATTTTCCTTTGAAACTGGGCATGGTATTCATGCAAAATGAGTTAGACAAATAGTATTTTGTTGTAGTAAAATTATTATTTTGGGGTTTATTTCAAGTCCTGAATTTGGATTTAGGTCCTTATTTATTTGT